GTCTCCTCGTATATTTTTAAGAATCTTATCAAATGAGTGCATTTTTGTGTTCTTTCATGGTATTTGACTATTTTCTTGTCTTATCACATGCAACCCCTTGTAGTACGGAAGCATCCTGTTATGAAGCTCCTCTTTAGTCACTACAACCTGCGATTGTTTTTTATTTTTGATTTTAGTCATTTATGACCTGTGTTTAGAGCTGTATGGCGGTAAACCTTTATAGTTATCGTTTGGATTTATAAATTGCTCTTGGTGTTGGCAAAATTGGCAAATCCTTTGTTCCAATAATATTGGTGATATTATATCTTGAGAGCAAGTGAAATGAGTTGTATGATTATCCAGTAATCCGAACAGATGTTCATTTTTCTGGTGGAAAAAGAAAGAAATGTACGTGGACCACTTCTGTTATTTCAGTATAATTCTCTTGCGTCGTGCAATTCGTTACATTTTCAGGAAAGTGTAATTTTGATATTAGAACTTTTCACTCAAACTATTTGGTGTTTTTCGAGTAATTTTTTTCTGCAAGGCAGCACATCTATCTTATCTTGAGCTATGCTATATTTTTTTTTTTTTTCCCCATTTACTGTTAGCAGATTTATGTAGGACTGTTAGCAAGTAATAGTTGTATGTCCTCTTTCTTGTACTTTTTTTTTTTTTTCCTAAATCTGAATAGAAGAAGTAAACTAAAGGACAATACGAAAATGGACGAAAGTCGAACAATAGTTCTTCAGCAGCACTCTCTTATGGCTGCTTAATTTTGTATGTGAAAGGATACTTATTTTCGCGTACTATCTTGTTTCAGCAATGCTCCGCATCATTTTGATCACAAAATCTAAATAACTCCACGTGCATTGTCAGTATATGCTTTTCATATCATTACACGATTTAATTTGTTGTTTTGCTAGTGAAGTCCAGTTCTAATTCAAGTTGGTCAAAAAGAAAACTTCTTAAACACTAGTGAATCATGATGATGGTAAGTGGCTAATAATCTTTGTTTTCTTTTCTTTTATTTTTTATTTTTACAACTCTCGGAAAAAAAAGGTGGCTGAACGGGCTCTTTTCTGGTGGAACAACGAGCACATAGTGGGCCTGATTGCGGAGAATCGGCACGTGATCCTTCCAATCATATTCGATTCACTAGAAAAAAACATAAGGGGCCATTGGAATCAAGCGATCAATGGCTTAAGTTCCAACGTTCGCCGAATGTTTCTTGAGATGGACAGCGAGCTTTTCGAGGAGTGCCATAGACAGCACGAGGAGAGAGAGGCCAAAGCCAGCGAACGTGAAGAGCAACGAGTGGCCATCTGGAAAAAGCTCGAACAGTTCGCTGCACAGGTCAGTTAAAAAAAATAAAAAATAAATAAATATATAGAAGAAAACATATTTTTCGAGGAGAAATGTTGCACGTGAAACTTGTGCGCACTTTGCAAAGCTCTGTCGGTTTTTGGATGCTGGAGAAAGGAACACGGGAAGATTTTTTTTTTTTTTTTTTCTAATTTTTTCTTGTGTCTTCTTCTTTGGCTACTCCTTTTGATTACTATTTCGGGGAGGGAATTCGGTTTGATTTATGAAGAACTGAAGGCCAGGAAAGGAGAAGGTATGAATGAGTGTTGTTGATTTTTTATTTTTATTTGTCAAAGGATACAAGGTTTAAAGACTGCTCGGGAGCTTTGTAAATACTCGATTCTTGTGTTTATTCTTCTTACATTTTTCCAGATTTGATTGTAGAACTGTATCAAGCAAAATATTAATTTCGACACAATTTTGAATGAAAGCGTGACAGCTGATTTTTTGTTGGTTTGTGATCTTGTGCTTTCTCTTCGACCTGTTTCGACCTGTAGTGATATAAAAAGTTAAAATATTTAGAAGAGACGATAACACAGCGAATAATGTGGTGGTCGGTGGAGATGATTGATTTGGCACCGCCACACTCCCAAATATCATGTCAAAGTAGCCGTTGCCGCCACCACCAAAATTGGTGGTTCCGGCTTCTTCTCCTCCACGGCCGCCATACATGCTAACAGTGTTTCTCCTATACAGATGGGCAAAATTGTTATTGATTTGTAAATGAAGTTGAACTCAAGAGGATATGTTAGATTAATTAAAGCGTCGAATATTGTAAACTAAATAGTTCGGGACGAGTACTACAGTGTTTTAAAAATCAAGCTGATGGGGAGATTCGATATTGACGATCCAGTCAGACCGACCTAGGAATGGCTAAAACCCAGTTACGCTGGAAGAATTCCCTGGGCTTTTTCAGGTGCTCCGGCCAACAAGCTAGGTCGACTCGGAGTCGAGTGAAGCATTCATTATTAACCCCAAACCGGCATCTGGAACCTGAAAATCGGAATTACTACATTCATACCTTATCAATTGTGTTGAGTAAATACATAAGTAGACATATGTAGAGATGCAAGAGATTCGAGCGTTCCAGTCAATGTCGACTCAAGTCCGAGTTTGACCGAGTGCGAGTCGAGCTTGAGCACCTTCAAACTCGAACTCAAGCCTATATGATGTATGTTATAATATTGATTGCTTATCCAGCAACTCTTCTCCATATGAAAATGAACTTTTTGGGAAACGAGAAGTATTGATTATAAGTGTAGTTCACTTAAATATCCCAAAATTAAGTTAAATTAAAGCCAAATTAAAAGATAAGTCTTATGTGAATATATATTTTTTTTTATTTAAAATTTGAGTTGAGCTCGAGCAAAATTCGAATTGATGTTGAGCATTTGTTTAGTTTTGTCGAGTCAATTTGAGTCGTAAAAAGTCGAGCTCGACCAATATTGAACAAAAAAAAAAAAACATTGAGCTATTTTTATAATCATTGATCGTCTCGACTTTGATTGTTTGCAGCCCCAAACACACACGATTGTATCATAAGTTATAACTTCAAAATAAATTTAATGCAGAAACTCAAAATGATTTCAAATTATTTTGGAAAAATTAATCCATTCTCCTCCAAATCCCATTTTATATGCAAATTTATAAAGATTTGTTTTTAATTGCAAATATACCAACTTCATTGTTTTATAAATGGTTGGTTTGTGATTTATTTTTGTCATTGGTTTCATAATTATATTATTATTATTTGATTTATGGCTCGTTTACCAATGATTTATGTATAAATCTATTTTGAAAATTATTTATTTTTTTAATTTTTTTTTAAATAAATTGTGGTTACAATGAGAAGGAGCCATTTTAGGTGGTACATTTGGGCCAAATTTGAAGTGGGCCGTTCCACTTGTATCACACTCTATATTCCCTCTCATTTCAATATTTCAATTTCACACCTTCCAACGGTCTGCGATGGCGGACACATGACATGAGCAAG